TCAAGGGTTCGATCGTCCCTCAAGACCGTACCCTCTAAGTTTGCGTGTCTTGCATGCCCATCAGGGTGGGACCTTAAGGGGTACAAGTCTCCATCTTTGAAGTTTGGAGATTTGTGAAGACATGGGGCTCCTAGTGGGCATCTTGTAGGATGCCCTGGCAGCCTCGACCTCTGCCTTGCGCTTGCTGCAAGTCGGCCTGCGCACGCCCAGCACGGAGTGGGAGGCGCAGGGGCAACGATTGATTTTCAGCGGCACGGTCGGTCCCCGCCCCCCCCGTGACCCCTGGTTGAATTGGACTGTGGTGTCAGAAATAACCGGATTCCAAAATGAACCCGGCAAGTGGAAAGCTGGACCCGCAAAACCTGAGCGGTTTGCCCCTCTGGTTTAATTTGAGCCACGCCCAAATTCCTTTGCGTGGCGCCGGTTCAACATGCGGGTTTACAGTGGCAAGCCGGGAAGCGGTGGCATGGTCCATGTGGGGTTGGTCAGAGCAGTCGCAAGGAAGCGAGCGTCCCGCCCCATGTATGCCCGGGACGGCGATTCAGATTGTCCTGTGGAAGTTGATTTTGGCATGGTTTCTGGGCAGACTCCTTGAGAACCAGCTGTGGTGGTTTTGCTGGATTGTAATACTGCTTATCATGTTTGCTTCAACCAAACACTTTGCATGGCCATTGGATCGCCCGGCTTTTTGGGCGCGCTGTCAGGCGCAGGGGCTGTCAGCCCACGCAGAGCTCACAGAGCAGGAGTTGCGCTTCGTAGGCCTCTCAGGTCATGTGGTTGAAAGACCCAAAGGGAGCCATGGGTTGAGGGCAGACAGACGGAGATTTGAAGTTTTTTTTTTGTGGTATCCCTAGAATGGCAGGTGCAAACAGACCTCGGGAATCCTGAAAGATCATTCCAGTGCCCTTGCTGGGCACTATGTTGGTTTTTGTCTCCTAAATCGGGATGTCGACGCCCGTTTTTTTTTTTCTTGGGAGCTGACTGGAGGCGGTTTAACATTTGAAATCAGAAGGACGGCATATGAGGCGCTGACCAGAACACGTATAATTCATCTCACCGAGCCCTCCGAGCCCTCGGTTTTGAGGAAGCCAGGCTGGGCTGACCAGCGACATCAGCTTCTTGGTTGTTGCAAGCCCTTTGGCTTGCTGGTTTCCCCGGAACAGAACGCCAAAATGGTGCTCTCAAAAGCGACACACCCAGACATGTCTGACGTTTTCCAGGACAAACAAACAACTAAATCGCCATGTTGAGACAAGCATTTTGTCGACGTATCCATACTGTGGATGGACGAAATCCATTTCGCACCACCGATCAGAATCCCTGGAATGAATCGATTCCCATGGTAAATACCGTAACAAACCTTATGGTTTCAACCATGGTTTCTGAACGGTGGTGCGAGAAGCGGACTTCGCAACCATCCACAGTATTATTCTCCGTGGTTTGGAACTAGCAGCATTCCAATGTTTCTGTTTGATGTCCAATTGAAACTCGTGCTCATGTCTGGGGTCATTATGTTGATTGTTTCTAGGGGTTGTCAAAGTCAGCAAATGGGCTTGTTTACCTTTAACCCATCACTGAACAGGGGTGACTTTGATCATGGTAAAATCAGGAGGCCAGCATGTGTGCTGTCGACGTATCCCTTTATCCACGCCACACGGCAGCCCAAGTTCCGACCGGCGACGCGACGCCTCAGGCCGCAGCACGCGTGGAGCTGCACTTGCTGGGCGAGTCGGAGGCGCGCGAAACCGCGAAACGTGGGGCGAGAAGCGCGGAACGAGAGGAGCTACCGGAAAATTGTCGTAGGGATATGCATTGCCCTAAGGCTTTTCTGCATGGTTGTTGTTGGGAAACATTTTAATGTTTGCTTATTGTGGTTGAGTGGGATATCCCGCCTTAGCTGCTAACATTTAATTTGTTGCTCCCCTTCCAACGTCAACCAAGTAAGGCTCTTTGCTATGTGCATTGCATTGGAAGGGTCGGGATTTGCATTGAAAAGGTCCGCCGCCAAACGACGCCTCGAAAAGAGTTGGGAGCCTTAGGGTGTTGTTCAAAGCCGACCTTTTAACCTTTTGGTTTTCCAACTTAGGTTTATATTTAGTCACCCCAAAAGGTTAATATTGTAGTTCCAGGTCCTTTGGGCAACTGAGATAAGGGATATGAGTTGGAGTGGAATAGGGTTTTAAAAAGAACAAACGAAGGTGTCTCCTCGTATGACCAAAACCGAAGGATTCAGAGTCCAGTTTGGCTCTCATGTTTTGGGAGTTTCGCGGCTATGGCTTTGTTTTGGAACAGCAAGGGCCAGTTCTGGCTCTTTGTGGTACAGATTGGCCCCCGCAGCGTGGCCCCGTTCCCTCTGCATTTGGCGTACTCGGGGGAAATGTGCCCCTCAGGCGGCCCCGACTTGGGTGAGTCGTCAGCCGTCAGGAGCTGGACTTTGAGGAGAGGTTCGGCTCGGGGTCCCCAGGAGCAAAGGCTCGAACGCGAGCGCGGAAAAAGATGGGGCTGAAGCGAGTCGAAAGCTCAGAAAAAAGGCTTCAATCAGAGCTGGAATTTCAGACATGGGTATGGGTCCAAATTAAACCGCCAGGGAACCTCAGGTTTTAGTCTTTCATTTACCAGGGTGCTATTTTGGGGTTAACCTATTTTTGACCCACGGCTCACCGGTGAGAAGCACCGGCGAGGTGGCGAGGGCGCTGTTCTGACAGGCCGGACTGCGGCTTTCCGATGGCTTAGCTGACTGGCAAGTTTGAACCTGGTGTCATTTTGTTTGACGGTTTCTGGGGGTTCTCAAAGTCAGAAAACGGTGGGTTGTTTCCCTTTTAACCCACCACTGAACAGAAATGGGTGACTTTGCTCACGGTTAAACAAATCATACTGTGGATGGTTGCGAAATCCATTTCGCACCACCTAAGAAACCATGGTTGAAATAAATAACTGTTTGCTACGGTATTTACAGGGGAATCATTCATTCCAAGGTTTCTTAGGTGGTGCTGGAAACCATGAGAAATCAAACTGTTTGTTGGTATTTACAGGGGAATCATGGTATCCCAGGGCTTTTCAGGTGCTGCGAGAAGCGGATTTCGTCCAGCCATCCCCAGGATTTTTCGGCCTGTGTTCTTGGAGACAGAAAAGGCCCCCGGAAAGGCAACGGAGATTCGCTTCGCCGAGCGACAGAGACCTCTTTCAAATTTGACCCGACGGGCTCGAGCCCGAGAGCTTGAAGAAAAATCCCATGGCTCCAGATGAGCCACGTGCTCAAAACCTGGGTAGATGAAGGTTAGTAAGGCACGATCCCAGCCATAAACCTGGGTAGACCATTTTAGTACCAGGTTTTGATTGCGACTCAGATGCCTTCCCTCCTTGTGCTGTAATTACTTTCCCTGGCCCGGAGGGAGTCGAATGAATCTCGCATGGTGTTGCCTTCGACTCCTATCAGGCGTTGCATGTGACATGCTTTTGGCTGAGACGAATGCCTGAACAGCCAAATTAAGGAGCCCTTGGACTGGTGAGCCTGGCTGAAGCGGGCAGATGTTGCGTAGTTTTTCCCTCAGGGAGAAGGTTTGCATGAGTCCGTTGGCCCTGTGCAGGATGCTTCATTGCAGATGAGGCCCGAGAAATTCGGCTCGCGGTTCGCGAGGTCTTGCTTTGAGAGTCGCGTGGGAGCCATGTCTTAAGCACGCATGTCGTGTACCCATGCTAGGTCCCCCAGTAGTGCCCTTCTCTCCCCTTTTCTTGGGGAGGCTTCCCCTACTAAACTAGACTACAGAAAAAAAGTACCATATTCTTGACACTGCCGGCATAGGAGATGAGCTGGGCCCATCTGCCAAGGAAGTTGTGCCCAAGAATTGGGCACGTCTACTGAAGGAGGTTGTCTTCCGTTGGACCATTGTTTGCGTATGGTTTGGACTCTAAACGGAGTCCAGGAAATTCCATATGACTTCCTTTCTGGATGACCCCAAAAAAAGGAGCAGAATTCTGGATACCCCCATACAAAATGATCCAAGATTGTTTGGTTTCACATTATCTGAGTATCGAACAGAACGTTTCGATCCGCAGGACACGAGGATTCCGACGCTGCTCCCCGAGCGCTCAGCCGAAGAAGCAGTGGCACAACTTCTGAAGAGGGGCCTGAGTCGGGCCTTCAGAGCCACGGACAATGCGAGCTTTTTCCAATTAAAGCTGACAGGAAGGTTTCGCAAGACTACAGTCCTCTTGCAAGGCCTGTCCACTTCTAGGATTGTTGGAGCGTGGGTAATGTTGACATCGGATTAGTCCGAAGAAGTCGCACAAAAAAAAATCAGAACACTATATATATATATATATATATATACCCGAGAGTCGCTTTTTTGTGAGGCCCACAGAAACAGGGGTTGGGGGTTGGCTAAGCGGCCAACGACGTCAACTGCGGATTATTGGAGAGTATCATACTAATCATGTGTAGTTTCCCATTTTGGTGGGACAAGTACAATCATTGACATCTGATTGGTATGGTCCTTCCTATTGAACCGAAGTGAACATTTGGATGGCCCCTATATCGGTTTTGTAGTGTGGGACTTCTGGCTCTTTATGCTGGGTGTCTTTCGAAATCTACACGAACCCCCCCCCCCCCAGCACCTGTTTCAGAGGTTCCCACACGATATTTGTCGCATCCCGGCTACCCGTGAAAGATACCACCCAAGGCTGCATTGCATAAGATTGGAGTTGGCACGACAACAAATCAGTACTAGCAGACCTTACAGAAAAATGTGTCGAAACGTTGACAATGGCAAGTGCTTGCAGTTTTTGCCTTGGTGGCTTCTTATGCAGAAATTTGGGGGGCTTCCTTTTCCTTTTTTGCGGGGCTTCTTTGGGGGAGTCCAGTGGTTGGAATGCAACTGGTCTCCAGAAATGGACTCCGAAAGGCGGGGGCTCCTCCATCTCGACGCTCGACGGGCCACCAAAAACCTCCCCTCAGCCGGTCCCGGCGCGCTTTGCGCGCTAAGGCGCCTACACCTCCGCCGATGTGGCAGCTGCAGCTGCCTGCCAGCAGGCGAAGGGGAGGAGTTGAGACGAGGTTGACGGGAAGCTGGGCGTGGATCAACCAGGGGCTTTCTGCCACTTGGTCTTGGGATACATGTGTTAATGTGTGTGTGTGTGTTTTGTACTTGGGAAGAAATGTGTTAATGTGTTAATGTGTTAGTGTGTGTGTTTTTGGTTGATGCTCGGGAAAGTTTGATTCACGCTGGATAAAAGGGGAGCCATTGGAAGACCAAAGCTTTCACGCTTTTCTCTATGCTTGACGCAGCTGTGTGGGATAGTTCTGACCTCAAATGAATCAGCCCTGCGGGTTCATAGGGCGTGATTACGTTCCCCAAACGTTTGCCCCACGAGAAGACTTTGGCAAAATCGGACCCGCCCCGCCGCCCCTTCTGAAAGTTTCGATCCGAACCCTTCGATCAGGACCCCTCAGAAGCTTGCTATGGCTTGCAGCGAATATGGGCTTCAGGTTCCTCTGAAGGTTTTCCTGTAGGATACTCCCCAAAAGCGAAAAGGGTATCACCGCAAGGGCATGCCCTGCGCCCTCGACATCATGCAGTGCTGCACAGATCTTGTAGAAAGGCTTGAGGGTGGCAGTGTCACTGACTCAATCAACAGGGGTGGTGGGAATGAACCTAGGGTTTCCCTTGAAAGAAACCTGAGCTTTGCATGTTGCTTGGATGTTAGGACTAGGACTTTAACTTCTTGCCAACTGGGTAAGCCGCTAAACGTTGAACATTTAGCAGAGCAGAAAGCACCCGAGAGAAGGGCTGGACCGATTCCCCAATGACCTGCCTCCAGCAAGATGAGATGCAACATATCCTGGAGGCTCTCCAGCAAGAGGTCACGGCGGCGTTTGGAGATGCTCGAGTGCTCTTGGGGTGCCAAGACAGTCCGTGCTTCCGACAAGCAAGTCTCGGGAAAATGATTGGTTTGAGTTGAATGCGGGGACAGACCCTCACACATTTCTTGTGGTTTCCTTTAAATTGTTCCCTGGTTCATTCTCGAAACCCCAAGTTGATTCCCTGAACAACACGTGGGTGTGGCTCAAAATGAAACATGAGGGGCAAACCGCAGGTTTTGGTCCGTGTTTCCACTTGCCAGGGTTCCATTTTGGAATTCCTGTTTTTTGGGCAACAGCCACGTTGGTTCCCTTGACCGTTGCAGGTACACCTCGCAGGTTCTCGTTTGTACGGGGCCGCGCTTCACGATGCGGACGTGGACTTGCTGGTGGCTCCGGCTCGTTGGCGTTCCGTTGGGAGTCAAACACCGTGGATGGTTGCGAAATCCATTTCGCACCTTGCCTGGGTTCCCTGGAAGGATTCGATTCCCCTGTAAATACCAACAAACAAAAGCAGGGTTGTGGGAAATGACCGCTTCTGTGATACAACAAAAAGGGCCAGCCCCAAAGACTAACACCCCATATAAGGGGGGAGATTCCCTTGTATCACAGAAGTGGGAATAAACCCCGAGTGATTCCACAACCCTGAACAAAAGGTTTTCAACCATGTTTCAAAGCGGTGCGAACAGCTTTTGTCCATCAGTCTGACCCTCACAAACCCGCATGTCTGAGGGCGGATTTTTTTCGACATCTCCATTTGAGGCTCGGAGAGGACTGGGGCATCCTTTTAGGTCGTTTCTCGCAACGGACAGCCCCTCCACGAACCTCAGCGGAAGGGCAGGGAGTAGAAAACCAAGTGAATTTCGGAGTATGGAGGGCCCTGGCTAGAGAATTCCTCCATAAAAATCCGGTCGGAGCAATCCAAAGGTTTGCTTGAACGTGGGGAACACCAGCAAAATCGGTTGACTTTTCCGTGAGTTCACGAGACGCAACCAGATGTTCCTCTGAAACGGAGCATGTAGGGTTCAGGACCTGTCCGCCGTGCTTGCATCGCCTTTGGGACAACACGCCAAGAGCTTGTGATGCTTGAAGGGACATACTGAGAGCCTGTGTGCTGGGAGCGCTTTAATCCAAAGGTGGTTGCAACCCTAATGCCGCAAGCAAAAACCATAGAATGAATCCAATTGTTCGTCAGGCCCCTTTTCAGGTGCTTCGGACAAATGCAGAACCATGGTCCCTGTTCAAACTTCAGGAGGGCTGATGCCAGCCTAGCACTCCCTTCCAAAAGGCGAAAAGTACTAGGATTTGTTTCTCCTGTGACACAACAGGGTTTACAAGTACACAACCCAATTCGGCTTTCTTAGCCCACACTTTCACAAACTGGATGAGATGGCCGGCTCTTCGCACAATCCCGGAGCGGGTCCAGAGAAACATTGGAAAGCTAAACATGAAAAAGAGGCTAAATTTGCGGAATTTGTCACCTTGGGACACACCCGCTGCTACCGTTGTATCAGAGTCGGGGTAGATCAAGAGGGCCACGCCATAAACATCGGATATCCGAGTAGACAGTGTTGCAAGATGAGTGTTGTGGGTGAGTTTATTTGTGATTGCACTTGATCCATATTATCTCCCTTTTCGTGCCGTTTAAACATATGGGTGTGGGGCAAAATGAAACCACCAGGGGACCGCAGGTTTTGGTCCTTGGCTCCATGTGCCAGGGTTCCATTTTGAGATACCAATTTTTGACTCACACCCATATGCTGAGATGAACTTGGACGAGTTGCCTCTTGACAGGGCGATGTTTAAGGGGAGGACATGGGGAGGCCCATCCGCTCCAGCGAACACCCACTCGCAGCTGCGGGCTCCAGTAGCTTCTCCTTTCCCTGCAAGCCATGGCGGAAGATGTGCGGGCCTCGGTGACTGCACTTCGTTTTGACAAGTCGACTTTTCGGACCGGTCCAAATCCCAAAGCCCGTACCCCCCAGTGAACATCCCAATCCAACCACTAAAATAGACTAGAAATGGGTGGTGCACCTACCACAAAATGGTACCATTGGTTTTGACCCACAGCCAGAGGTGTGTGTGTGTGTGTGTGTGTCTTGTCTTCTTTTGGAGCTGGTACTATGTTTAAAGTTGAGGACACTGGGGAAACCCTTGCTCCCAGAGACAAACGCAGAGGCAGAAAGTGGTTGAACGGTTCTTTTTGGTTTGCCAAGCTTCCATTTGCTCAATATGTATTTTCCTCCTGTTGGTTTTACAGGGAATCTATCACTACTGGATATATATATATATATTTGTTGCAGGGATTTTATGCGAGTGGAAGCAAGCAATGTTCGATCGCCTTGAGATCGCGTCGAATGGGAGCAACCCTGGAGTCTGAATTGTTTGAGGCAGTGGGTGCAAGGTCTTTTGGCTGCCAAAAAAAAGATCTCTGTCTCAAAGGGCTCCAAACTCTATTCATAGTATCTATATACAATACATATATATATATATATATTTATACAACCCTAGCATAGAGATACTTCATCATGGATGGATCATCGGAAGAATACGGGGGTGTCCCTGGTTTTAGTGGGGATTGTTCACTTTTGGAGGGGAACTTATTAATAAACAGGTTGGTTGATTAATAGGGGGTCAACATCAGGTCTTCTGCTCTTGAGGACCTGCCCACCGCTCGGCTGAGCGTTCGCCTGCAGGCTCCCAAGAAGCGAACCTTCAAGAAGTACTCGTACCGCAGGGCAGCCAAGTTCCAAGACTCTAAGGGTTTTTGTACTACACCCTGAGAATACACCTGGGTATTGACACATTTCCGGAGAAAACCGTGTAATTGTGAACCATTCTGGGTCATTTCCAGGTGTAATCCCAGTGTGGAATACAAAAACCCGAGAGACGTTTTGAATCGGGTTGGTTTTTGTTGCTTTCAAAGCGCGGTTGTAACCCAGCTTCTCAAGAGAACTAAACCGGCACACACCCCAGCGAATCAAACACTGAACCAACGCCATGTCTCCGATGAAGATTCACTCATACGCGTTCATAGCTTGCGGGCGGACAGCGCTTCGGGTGGAAGCAAATGTTATTCCCTTGCAGATAATTCGTCATAGTCTCTAAGGGAGTCCATTAAAAATGAGGGTTTCAAGGTTTGTGCACTAAAACCAGGGGGACAATTCCTTGTGAAACATGTTGCAACTATCCAGGAGGAATCGATCTCGACAAGCTGCTGGACATGAGCAACCAGGACACGCCGGCGGGTGTGTCTGTGTCTCTGTCTGTGTCTCTGTCTGTCTGTGCGTGTGTTTGTGTTTTGAGTGTATTGGCTTCAAGGGAAACCAGAAGGGTACTATTGGTTGGGCGGAGGCGACAGCAAACCAAGGGGCATGAGCAAGGGGCATCCCCCACTTTGAACAACCCAACATGGAGTGCTTCTGATATGCTCGAACAAGTGTCATATATATATATACATTTAGAAAATATCCCTTTTTTGAATTGTCCACGCGTTTGGACACGCCTATGTAAAAGAGTGCTTGTAGAAAACCTCCTAGCTTGCAAATGGTTGGTTCTCGATTCGTTTGCCTTAGTAATTTGAGGGTCATCCATTCTTTGTCGGCTGATGCAGACAAGAGAAGGACCTCCCAGCTAACCCCGAGCCGACCGGTTAATCGCAAGCGAATGAACCCCTAAAAAGAAACAAAGGACTGCCCACCATTTGGCCTACAAAGAAGCGCTTGTTACTTCGTTCTTTGCCCTTGTCGCGCGCTTCGGCATTAAACGCCCCGGATCGCTTCAAGCGGAGGACCTCATGGAGCTCTTTTGCGCCCGCCAGCGCCGGAAGTTCAGCCGGGGCATCAAGCGAGCGCGCGAGACCCGGTGATGCGAGTGAGGGAGGGGGGCTTCTCGGCGTGGCGTGGACGCCGAGTGGCTTGAGTTTCTGGTGGCTTGATCTTGTTTCATGCGGCTTTGAACTCTGGAAAATTCTCTAGGAAGGGTTGGTGTACACATATCCCACGTCAGCGATGTCCATCAAAGGGTCCACAATCAAGATTTAATCCAGCATATGACTTGGTACTGTTTGGGGAGTGGTCGCGAGTTGGCATTGGGCCAGTTTTTAGGTCCCTTTCCAGGACCCAGTTTCAACACGGGTCTTGGAGCGGCCTGATTGGCGCGATAGTCCGAGGCCAATCACAGTCCTGAAGAAGTTGAGAAAGGTGGGATGGGCGGAGCACTCTGCGCGGTCGTCAACAACGCATTACGTCCTCATTTGTCAGCCCCAACTCAGTTATATGTTTTTCAGCCCATGTCAGCCCCGGAAAAGTGGGGCACTGATTTACTCAACATCATGCCATGCCCATGACTGTCGTGAGCACATGATCAAGCAGTCTTTGGGAGTTATGATGGAACTATTGATGCTGATGTGAGCATGGAACATGTCCCAGGGCTCTTTGTAACAGAGTCAAGCGCTGCCACCCTATCTCTAGTCCTTCAAGAGGGGTCAATGTTGACATTTTCTCCTGCGGATCAGATGATGAACATAGAAGCTAAGCAAACATCATTCAAGTTTTGCGGGAATCTCCTTTAGTGCCACCCCCTTTTGGGCCAATGTGCAGGGTATCGACGGAACATGGCTGGTCAGAGGTGCAATATGTCATGGGGGCGGGGAGGGAGGGAGGGAGGAGAGGGGGAGGGAGCCCAAATAAGCCCTAAGGGCGTATTTGGGCTCCCTCCCCATGAATATGTGTTGCGAATGAGGCCCAAAGGCCTAGTCCTGACTTTGGGGAGCCGGGGCATTGGAGGTTTGGAGGGCGCGGTCGGAATGCCAAGCTTCAAGCTCGATGCCAGGCCAAGCGAGAAACCGCGTACGGAGAGAAGCCCGAAGCCGTGAAGACGCACCTGAGGAACATGGTCATTGTGCTCCTTGACGATTATTGGCTAGATCCCTCAGTAGTGCCCTTTTACCCTTTTTTGGGGGAGGGGTTTCCTACTAAAATAGACTACAGAAAAAAGGTACCCTTATTCTAACCCACTGGGGGACCTAGTTGGTCTCTCAGTCGGAAATTCACAGCCTCGAGGGTTGGCTTCCGTCCGGTTTGCCCTACAACAAAGAAAAAGTGTGCCCCAAAAGACGCCCATTTCGAGCCGGAGTGTGGAAGCCAAGGGTCGGATGCTAGGCTTGCTGAGTTGATGGGTCGGGTTGGCGCTGCTAAGGCCAGAGATGATCGGACACTCGACAGAACACCGTCACATGTACGAGTGATTTGTCCATGGAGACTTGACGCGTGCGGATACCCTTCGCGTTGGCGCCATTGATTTGTGGGTGCCGCAAGTTCAAGCGACAAGATGTCTGCGGAAAGGCAGCGTGGTGGGCGTGTACAACGGCAAGCAGTACATCACGGTGGAG